GGGAAGAGATTCCGGAAGAGATGGTGAGAAGATCGTTCAAAACGTGCGGGATCTCAAACGCTCTCGATGGAACAGAAGACGACGCCATCTACGACGACGAAATGCCTGAGGTAGCTGATGATGACATGGAGGATGAGTTTGAGACTGACAGCGAAGAAGACGACGATGACTTAAAACTTCAATGTCACAAACTTAAACTTCACAAACAAAACGGCTCCTTTAGGAGCCACCACATAAATTAAAGTCAATGACCAATAATGATTTACATGTACCTACCTTTCGTGATCTCGGAAATTTGTGTTTGTTGATAATCGCTCGGCTTATAGTCGAATAAACATTGAATTTTGAATCTTGTTAAGCACCCGTAAATATTTTTTGGCGAAAATACTCGGCTATAAGCCGAAGCCCCTACCTTGGCGAGAATTTACCTGTTCTCAGTTTAATTTGTTGGAAAAATCGCTCGGCTTATAGGCGAATAAATACGGTATATCAACAAAGTTGAGTTTCCAGATGGGATTTGAACCCACGACCCTCCGTGATCTAGTGGGTTCAAATCCCATCTGGAAACTCGATTTTTCTCTTCTATTAAATTGTTTATTTCATCTTTACATCATCAAAGTTGAAATGGTAAATTGGCCACCGTAACGATTACGTAACGATTACAAAAGCTGACGTTTCGAGCGTTAGCCCTTCGTCGGAGCGGAAAATGGTGTTGTCTATGTAGAGGACAGGCATTACAAGATGCCTCTCCCATTTAAACATCAGAACATTCCGCTCCCAAACAACTATGCGTAAGCAGAGAAGCACCTTCATAGCCTTGGGAAGCGTCTGGTGTCTGATGCCAGATATTACACAGACCACTGCAGCTCTATGTCTGAAATAATTTCCAAAGGATATGCTCGTAAGGTGGGAGAAGAATTCAAAGGTCAATACGTTTCTTTTGTCATGGGTAAGCCTCGCGTAACGCCAAAGAAGACAGTCAGCATCCAAGGGCTGGAATTGGCGGCTGCCACTCTATCTCTAAAGATTGGTGACATTTTGAAGGATGAGTTGGAGTATGGAAACATTGATGACCATTAGACGAACAGTAAGGTCGTTCTAATATTTATAAGCAACGAATCCAGTCGTTTTCACGTCTACTCAATTTTTTATTTTTTGGAGTATCCTAGTAGTTTGACATTAATTTGCACTTGATACAGAGTTCATACTGAGTTCTTTCCCTTCGTGATTTCTGGATTATACTTGAGCTTCATTCACAAATTACCCCTATGAAGAGTAGAGGTCCACAGAGATTTTTACATTTTTAAAAACTAGATATTGTAGCCAACAAGGTGTATTTTTCAGTTCCAGAATCAATGTACTTTGAGTGAAATTCAGATAAATATTTTCCAGGTTTTACTCAACACTAAAAATGACCAGAACTGTACTGAGATAAATGATTAATCAGTGTCTTTACTTTCGCTGTCAGGGAAAATTGAATGTATCGAGTAAAAATGAATGATATCACAATGCATGGCAGAGATACCAATTTGCAAGGTCACAGAGAGCTTGAAATAGAGAAATGAACATTTTACACTTTTTTGGCAATGCTTTTGTATGTACTTAGTTTAAGCAGCAAACAATTATAGTCAGCTAAGCTTTGTAATGTGCCATTAAACTAAAACTTAAACTTAAACATTAAACTTAAACATTAACTTAAGCGTTAACTTAAACATTAAACTTAAACTAATTACAATAACAATGCGAGAGCCAACGGATCATAAAGGGCATCGGTCAATGTTTTACGCAATCAAACTTGAGCATGTGATAAGGTGGATATGAATCCCATGTGTTTTTATGAACCTCCTCATGATGTGATAACCACTTTGCAGGAAACTAAGTGAAGCCAACAAATGTGCTTTTGAATTATCATCACATAACCAGAAAAAAATTTAGTTGACGCCTCCATCTTTTAGTAAGTGTCCTACATTGATGTGGTTTTTTTCACTTAATTTTTTGACGAACTAAAAACTGTTAACTTGAGGTTTACACAAGTGATAAACAAATAAGATTACGGCTTTCATTGATATTATTGAAAAAGTTACTTTATTTTCCTGAAGGGATGCTTCAGCCACAAATCATTTTTCTGATAGTAATATCATTAGTGGAACAATGCTCAGGTATGTCAACACTCTATTTTATCACCTTCACATAATTAATGTGTAACAGGTTTTATCAGATGCCTCAGGGTGAGAAATTTTTGAAATGTGATTGGCTAAGACAGTTTACCTTTTGTAATAAATAGAAATTTCCTGTTCA